CTATTTAGATGGTTTACATCCTCTTGTTTCAATTCTGATAGGTCAAATGCATCTAGGAACTTATCCATTTCTTCTCGATTTTCCAGTTTATTTGAATATAGATTTTAAAAGTATCCCCCCTACATGATTCTCTGAATTTCATTGGTATTTGTTATAATATCCCCTTTTTCATCTTTAGTTTTAATAATTTGGGTCTTTTGCCTCCTTACATTGGCCAAAGGTTTATCAATCTTACTTATCTTTTCAAGGAACCAACTTTTTGTTTCATATTCTTTGTATAGCTTTTTTGTCTCTATTTCATTACTTTCTGCCCTAATCTATTTCTTTCCATCTGCTAATTTGGGGTTTGGCTTGTTCTTGTTTTTCTAGGAGCTTGAGGTGCATCATTGGGCTATTTATTTGAGGTCACTCTGCTTTTGGGTTTTTTTTAAATAGGCACTCATAGCTACAAACTTTCCTCTTAGCACTGACTTTGTTGTATCCCATAGGTTCTCATAGGTTGTGTTTGCATTTTCATTAGATCTGTGAACTTCTGAATTTCCCCTTATTTCTTCAATGACCCACTAGTCATTCAATAATGTGTTGTTCAGTCTCCATGTGTTTGAATGTTTCCTGTAGTTTCTTTTGTTATTGAATGCTACTTTTATTCCATTGTGGTCTGATAGAATATAGGGATTTATTCCAACTTCCTTATATTTACTAAGGCTTGCTTTGTGTACTAAAATATGATTGATCTATTTTGAAGAAATTTTCATGGACTGTTAGAAGAACATGTATTGTACAGCTGCTGGAAGAAATACTCTGTAGATGTCTATAGTATGTCATTTAATTCTGAGGTTTCTTTGTTGATATTTTTGTCAGGATAACCTATTGATTGTTGATAATATATTTTTATCAATTATATTAAAGTCAAACAAAAAATTGAGTTGAAAACCTCTCCAGACTGAATCAAATGGAAGACAGAATATCAGGTGCTTCCTGCACATCCATGTTTATTGCAGCACTATTCACAATAGCCAAGTTATGGAAACAGCCAAGATGCCCCAGCACTGATGAATGGATTAAGAAAATGTGGTACTATACACAATGGAATTTTATGCAGCCATGAGAGAAGACGAAATGTTATCATTCGCTGTAAATGGATGGAATTGGAGAACATCATCTGATGAGGTTAGCCTGGCTAAAAAAACCAAAAATCGTATGTTCTCCCTCATATGTGACATTAGATCAAGGGCAAAACACAACAATGGGATTGGACTTTGAGCACATGATAAAAGCGAGAGCACACAAGGGAGAGTTGAGGATAGGTAAGACACCAAAAATAGTTAGCATTTGTGGCCTTAACGCAGAGAAACTAAGCAGATACCTTTAAAGCAACTGAGGCCAATAGGAAAGGGAACAGGTACTAGAAAAGGTTAGATCAAAAAGAATTAACCTAGAAGGTAACACCACGCACAGGAAATCCAATGTGAGTCAATGCCCTGTATAGCTATCCTTATCTCAACCAGCAACCCTTGTTCCTTCCTATTATTGCTTATCTATCTCTCTACAACAAAATTAGAAATAAGGGCAAAATAGTTTTGCTGGGTATTGAGCGGGGGGGAGAGGGAGGGTGGAGGGTAGTAAGGGAGGGGGTGGGGGCAGGGGGGAGAAATGAACCAAGCCTTGTATGCACATATGAATAATAAAAGAAAAATGAAAAAAAAAAAAAGAATATCAGGTGCTTGACAAATTAGAGGTGCTTGAAAAATCAGATGAAGATAAAGAAAAAGAATGAAGAAATACAAACAAAATATGCAAGGTTTGGTCTACATTAAGAGGCCTAAAATTGTGGGCATTGAATAAAAAGAGGTGCAAGCTTAGGGCACAGGAAACATATTCAAAGGAACTTTTAATCCAAGGGAGAATCTTAAAGAAGATTTTTGGGAGAAAGCTGTGCTATGAGCCCCATCTCCACAGTCCTCCCCTTCAGCAGTAAAACAGGATGAGCAATGCTGTGCCTTACCTCAAACCTTAATGAGGGGGAACTCCAAAGAGTTGCTCCGAATGTTTATTAGATGACCCCCATGTTTGAGTGGCACAGGGTTGGAATTGATATATGGAAACTTAGAGGCTATTTATGATGTTATCAAATCACAAATGACCTCCACATTGCTAAATACAATAGTCAACATTTGGTCTGCAGCTAAGCTAACACACTGGCATATTGAAAAAGTTGAAACAGGGCCTTCACCTGGCTTCTAAGAAACCAGCATTCCTCCTTCCTCTGCAGTTGTTCCATCTCAGACTCTTTTGCCAGCTCCTTGTAAGCTCCCCATCTTTAGTAATGGAACAGTCCAGGGCTCAGAACTTTGACCTCTTATTTCCTGTATCTATCTCATTCCCTCTATATGTTGACAACTTCCAATTGTTTATGTCCAACCCAGAACTCTCTCCTGAATTTCAAACTCATATATTCCCTGCCTTTTCAAATCTCCACTTGGGTGTCTAATAAAAGATACTTCAAAATACCCAGAACCAAGTTACTGATTTTTTTCCTCCTAAAACCTGCCTCTCCCTCAAGTAATACCAAATCTACCCTTCCATTTGCCTAAACAAAAAAAAAGGAATCACTACAATCTCTCACTGTTGCATATCTTACATCTGATCCATTAGCAACAATATCCATCCTCAAAATATATGCAGATCACTTCTCACCATCTTCTTGAGTTTTACCTTGTTACCTCAAGTCTCCCAACTTCCTCCTTCCTCCCTACCTGAATCGCTGTAAAAGTCACCCAGATTCCTCCCATGACTAAGCAGAGGGACGCCAGAATATGTTTTCTACAGTGTGAACTGATGTCATTCTCTTGCACAGAACCCTCCAGTGGTTTTCCATCTCTTTCAGAGCAACAAAGTTCTAGCAATGGCCAATCAAACTCCAGCACACGCCTACCCACTCCCCACACACAACTGAAGTCATCCTGCTTCATGCACTTCACTTGGACAGTCACTGTTCTTCCTCAGACACACCAGGTAACTCCTACCCCTGGGCTGTGGCCCTGGCCTGTTCTCTCAGTTTGCAGTGCCTTTACTCCAAGAAAGCCACATGATTTGGTCCCTCAACTCTTTCAAACACCATCTTAGTGAGGCCTCTCCTGACCACCTTATTTACACCTGCAAACATTACCACCTCCCCCTACCTTCCTTTGCCCCATGTCCCTTCCCTGTGTATACAAAGCATTACATGTTTGCTTCTAGAGTACTCTGCCATTTGTTTATTTTTGTCCTTTAGGAGGACAGGGGATTTTTGGCTTTGTTTTTCTGGGGTTTTGTTTGGTCTGAGTTGTTAAATGCTGTATCTCCAATACCTAGAATAGTTAGATACACATTATGTGAATCTATCCCAAGAAGAAAACATTCATTTATCCATTCAGTAAACGTGGCTTCAGAGCAAATGCAGGCCTAGGTACTATGCTAGGTGCTGGTGAAAAGTGGTCAACAACACTAACTGATCTCCCTGCCAGCTTCTTCTACTGATGGATGATCAAAATAATGACAAGATAAGTAGTTGAGTGGTGAAAGGAAGGAACATAGGTCTACAAAAACATACCATAAAGAACACTGGTCCTAGCAAGGCACTGGTGGCTCATGCCTGTAATCCTAGCTACTCAGGAGGCAGAGATCAAGAGAATCTCGGTTCGGAGCCAGCCTGGGTAAATAGTTTTCAAGACCCTATCTCTAAAATAACCAACACAAAAAAGGGCTGATGGAGTGGCTCAAGTGGTAGAGCGCCTATCTAGCAAGTGTGAGGACCCTTGTAGCAGCTGTCCTCACTCTGATCAGGAAGAAGCACCTCCCCTGGTGACTCAGGGAAAAGCCTGTGATTAACAGAAAGGAGGCTGTGCACATAAAAGGCTTGTGATTGGTGGGACTGGAAGTTGTGGGCAAGCATGGCACGCCCCTTTTTACCTATATAAGTGGACTATTTCTCAGTCTTCAGGTCAATTCCCTCCTGTGTGCTAATTCCTGTATTGCAACATTAAGCCCCAATAAAGGCTTCTCCTTGATGCTATTTTATTGCCTAGTCGTGGTCTTTATCATGGGTAGAGTGAGCTGAAATGCTTCCATAAGAGCCAGGAGTTCCTGGGGCTTTTAGCTCCAGGCCCACCAAGCAGCAGCAAGAAGGCGGCAGAAGAGTTCCAGAGAGCAGCCAGAAGCAGACAGCTAGGAACAGCCTTTTTGCTCCAAGACCTGCTAAAATTATTCAAACTAGCCAGTCCTAAACCTGCTTGCCCTGCCTTCCCCATTCCTCTTCACAGAAAATATAAAGACTCTTGATCACATTTTTTCTCCTCTCCCTCTGTAGCAGGGAGGGGGATCAGAAGAAAACAGAGTAGGCCTGAGTTCTGATAAAGCAGCAGAGAGGTAGGGATGGCATAACAGAGAGATAAAACTTGAGGAATCTCAATGTGGAGAGGGTCACATAGCACTGGGGAGGGGAAAAATTATGTAGCACTAGGGTGAAGTAGCCTTAGAACTGAATATAACCATATATGGGTTAGACCTTGCTTTTTGCTTCTGTAACCTGCTTGCAAGAGTATGTAAGGTGAGACCACTTTGTTCTCAGGGCTCAGCCTTTGGACATGAGTCTGCTGAGACTGTGCAAGCACAATAAAATGTTGCTTCCTGCTAAACTGCCTCAGTATCTCAGCTTGAGATTCCCTCAACACCTCCACTTCTAGACTGACCCTGGCACTTCCCTCCTAGCTCTGAGTGGCACGGTGTGCCACCTGTTACTAGAGATCTATGTATAAATGTCTTCCTTCATGATGTCATTCCTGTGTCCTTAAGTCTTCCCACACCTGACTAAAATACATCCTACGTTCCCTTAAAATCAGAGCAATGCTTTTGACCTAGAATCTCAGCCCTTGAGAGGCTGAGTCAGGAGGATCAGGAGTTTGAGACCAGCCTGGGCTACACAGAGACCCTCCCTCAAAACAAAACAAAAGAGAAATTGCTGAAAAATAAAAATATGCTCAATTTATTCTAATCAAAATAAGGTTAGTTAAGGGCGGTGTATGACAGTGAAATTCAAACAAAAGAGCTTTTCTTCATTATCTCCAACAATGGCTTCTGTAATACATCTGTATCGACCCTAAAATGAGAAATAAGAAATACAAGTAATACAAAATGCTATTTTAAAGGCTTTTATAAGAACTTTTTCTTAACTGTAGAATGTCATTTAAATTGAATTGGTTATTTCTTGTGGTGATAGTAGTGATGATCAAACCCAGGGTTTCATGCATGCTGAACAAACACTATCACCGAGCTAACACACTCCAACCCATTCCTTTACACACACACACACACACACTTTTTTTTTTTTTTTTTGGTGGGGCTGAAGTTTGAACTCAGGGCAGGCCTTGAGTTTGCAAAGCAGTCGCTCTACCTCTTGAGCCACACCTCCAGTCCATTTTGCTCTGGTTATTTTGGAGATGGGGGTCTCATGAACTATGTACCTGGGCTGGCCTCAAGCTGCCATCCCCCCAATCTCTGCCTCCCAAATAGCTACAGGTGCGAGCCACTGGCACTCAGATATTTCCCAATTATAAAGCTGAGGATTTTTGCAATTTGTTTTTTAAAATGGCCAACAAGGTTTTCAAATATTATATATCATTTGTGACAAAAACAAACCCCAAAGAATATGCATCACCAAACCTTATTTTAAAATGGTCACTGGAAGTGGAATATATAAAATTTTATTGCTGCAAATATCCAAAATTACATTGGTGTTACTGAAGCAGGGTTATCTTTATGAAGGCATTGATGCCCAAGCTAAATCCCCAAGGAAAAATCTTAAGGATTTTTTATGTGATTTTTATTCTCCTAAACAATTTGTACAATATACTTAATATATTACATGAATAGTTATACAGAGCTACTGACTTATACACAGTGGTTGTCCAATGATTTCATGTCAACAGATTAATGATGGACTTTCTCATTCCTTTTACCTTGTATGTTAGGTGGAAACAATGAAATGAAAGAGGTATCTTATGTGGGATTTTTTCATATTCTACTGAAGGAAGAAATACCAAAAATACCTAAAACCAAAATGCTTAAACATCCTACTTTGAATAGCTATTTTTATAAGTCATGAATCGCTTGTTTTGAATTCTTAACACTCTATTGCTGAAAAAGGTTAAGAAAGTACAAAATAAATCTTGAACAATACCTTAGGAAATCGTATTCCCTTGAAGGAAAATGATACTGTTGTATTCACAGTCTCTGCAAAGAGTATACAAAATACAAAACATTACTGGTCATGATTAGGTCATTTGGGGGTGGGCAGTATGGTGTGTACTTCTGTGAAATATACTTGCTTAACAGAGGCCATTCCAAGCAAAACTGTAGAAAAATAAAAAATCTTATACCCTGATTACTGTCCTCTGGTGGCTTCCTCTGAACACCCCCTCTCACACCACACCACCAGCCTCTCTCTGCACCAGTCCACATCTCATCCCTTAGAGGATACAAACTTTTAAAACCCACTGGTTTCAAATATGTATCACAGCAGTTATATGTGTATATGTTTAACTGTAGACTTTCACTGGCTGTAACAGAGAAGAATCTTCTTAAATACAGTCAGAATACAAAAGCTCCTTCCAATCACTGTGAAGCCAGACTAAGAAGTCAGTCTCTGTTTAAATGCACAGCCATGAACCTGGCCCTGAACAAGCCATGGAGTACAAAGGCAGACACACAGGAAAAGCAGCACCCTACAGTTCCAATCAGACAAAACAGAATAGAGAATTTAGTGGGAGAGGGTTCAGGATGGAAAGACAGAATTGCTTTGAACATCAAATAAAAGAATAGTGACCAGCAGGGCGTCAGTGGCTCACGCCTGTAATCCTAGCAACTCAGGGGGCAGAGATCAGGAAGATCACTGTTGGAAGTCAACCCAAGCAAATAGTTCACAAGACCCTATCTCAAAAATACCCCACACAAAAAAAAAGGGCTGGAGGAGTGGTTCTAGTGATAGAGCACCTGCCTAAGCAAGGCAAGACCCTGAGTTCAAGCCCCAGGACTGAAATTTAAAAAAAAAAAAAAAATATTGACCAAAAGTCTTTTTTTTTAATTTTGAAATGGTCTTACTCAATAGCCAGGGCTGGCTTCAAACTCATTATCTTCCTGCCTCAGCCTCCTAAGTGCTGGGATTACAGGCATACACACATGCCCACTCCAGAATCTTTTTAAAAATAATATATCCAAGTGTAAAGCTATAAGTGGGCATGGTGGGGCAATCCTGTGATCCCAGCACTTTGGAAGGCAGAGGCAGGAGGACTGTGAGTTCCAGGCCTGCCTGGACTACACAGTGAGACTCTGCCTCAAAAAAAAAAAAAAAACCAGCCAGGCACCAATGCTTTATGCTTGTAATCCTAGCTACTTCTGAGGCTGAGACAAGGAGGACCATTGTTCCAGTTCAACCCAAGGAAAAAAGAAGTTTGTGAGACCCCATTTCAATGAAAAAAAGCTGGACATGGTGGTACACAACTGTCATCCCAGCAACAGTGGGAAGGGTAAAATAGGAGAATCGAGGTCCAGGCCAGCCTATGCAAAAGACAAGACCTGATCTCCAAAACAAACAGCGCACAAAGGGCTGTAGGTCTGGCTCAAGTGATAGAGTACCTGCCTAATGAGGATGAAGCTCTCAGTTCAAATCCTTATACCTCCAAAAAAAAAAAAAACTAAAGCTATAATAGTTATTGTCCTCAGATCTGGCTGAAGACAATCCTTAATAGCAAATGAATAGACGATGCCTGTATGTATATATCTATTCTCATAAATGTTTCTTTATTTCTTCTGGGAGTAGGTTTTTTAAGGGTGTTAATACACTGAGATGTTGTTTGTTTCTCCTTCTTTTTTTTTTTTCTCTTTTGAGACAGGCTATGTAGCACAAGCTGTCCTTGAACTCAAGATCTTCCTGCCTCCTCCTCCTGAATGCTAGGGTTACAACTGTATAGCACCAGGCCCAGGCTCAGATGCTTCTTGAGTTTAATAAATTGATCATATCTTTATAATCTTAGATCTTTCACTGGAGTCCAATTCAATTTAAAATTTTAACAGTCCAACAAATATTTATTGAAAACCTACTATGTACCCTAGCACCAGTGGCTCACATCTGTAATCCTAGCCACATGGCAGGCTGAGATCAGGAAGATTGAGGTTTGAGGTCAGCCAGTGCTAACAGTTTTAAGAGACCCCCATCTCCAAAATAATCAGAGCAAAATGGACTGGAGGTGTGGACTGGAGCTGAACTGGTAGAGCACCTGCCTTGTAAGCATGGAGCCCTGACTTCAAACCCCAGTCCCACCAAAAAATAAAAATTGTATTTTACTGCTCATCCTCAGAGGGAGCCTTGAACTGACCAGAGAAAATAACACAATCCAGATTCAGGAGGTTGGGAAGGAAGAAAAGAAGGTCCCCAGGTATGGAACAGCCTGAAGGAGCACTGCTTCTCAAGGTCTCCCTCCCACAAACTGCCAGATCCTCCATGCCCCAGGAGGGCAGGGAAGTTAAATCAGGGTATCTTCCCCTTCTACAGGTCCCCAGTCCCAAGAATAGCCCTCCCCACAATACCTCCATGCACTATCTGATTGGGGCCCACTGAACAGTGCGATGGATCTGCCAGCCCAGGCAGGGTGACCATAGTTATGTCCCACTGTGGCACTGCAGAGCAGCCTTATCCTTGCCCCTAAAAGTTCCTGCCTAATACTTTAAAGCAACAGAGGCCAATAGGAGAAGGGGACCAGGAACTAGAGAAAAGGTTAGTTCGAGAAGAATTAATTTAGAAGGTAACACACGCACAGGAAAGCAATGCGAGTCAACTCCCTGTATAGCTATCCTTATCTCAACCAGCAAAAACCCTTGGTTCTTCCTATTGTTGCTTATACTCTCTCTTCAACAAAATTAGAGATAAGGGCAAAATAGTTTCTGCCTGGTAGTGAGGGGGGTGAGGGAGAGAGGGAGGGGATGGGGGAAGGGGGGAGAAATGACCCAAACATTGTATGCACATATGAATAAAAGAAATAAAGAAATAAATAACAAAGAGCCCATCCTGCAGGGAAGGTGGGCACATACCCCATTGTCTCATCAGACTTCACTTACAAAACATCCAAAGATAAAATTATGTAGAATTTCAAAGCTATAATCACAAAGCACTCAACCCCAAGTATGAGGTCCTTCTGAGCACAGGATCCTGGTGGTAAAGCAAACCCTGTCATGTTTGTGGGAGGGAGGAAAGAAAATGGATGAGACTTGAGAATTGAGAAAGAAATCAAGAGTAACAGCTAGATTTCTATTGTGGAGGTTGCCAAATGCTTAGCAGGCTAGGTGAGAAGGAGCTCCCACCTCTCCTGCTAGTAGGCCTCTTTGTCATGGGTTTTGTCTCTCTTGGAAAGCTCTTATCTTAGTCATCTCTTCCATTCTCTTCTTACGGGGACTTAGCTTTAAGCCTGCATTGAAAAAGTCAAGAGGAAAGTCAGGCAGGGCCAGGGAAAAGGAGGCTGGAGTCCTTCCAGGCCCTTCTCTTCTCTTCCAACAGGTGTCTATGTAGCTCACATATGAACTAGTCCATTTCTCTTGGCAACACTGCAGGATGCAGAACTCAAGCCTCAGATGGTTTTACAGATTCAATTGAGTTTCCCAAAAGATGTGTGGAAATCCTAGCTCCCAGTGCCCATGAAGTTGGCCTTATTTGGAAGAAAGGTCTTGCAAATGATCAAGTTAAGTGAAATCATTAGGGTGGACCCCAATCCAATATGATAGTGTCCCTATAAAAAAGAATAGGGACAGAGATACAGACATGCACAAAGGGAAGACTGTGTGAAGAGACACAGGAAGGAAATGGCCATATATAGGGCAAGATACACCTGGGGCACCAGAAGCTCGGAGAGAGGTCTGGAACCTGCTGGTGCCTTCAGAGGCAGCATGGCCAAGCTGGCACCTTTATTTCAGACTTGTGTCCTTCAGCACTGTTAGACTCTGAATTTATATTATCCTAAGCTAGTACTTTGTGATACTTTTTTTATAGCACCCCTATACCCAAGATCCTGTTAACAGGGCTAGCAGACTTATTCAGTTTAAAACACCTTGAAATAGCCATTTATTTATGCATAAATGTGGTTTGTTGTTCATTTACTTTTCTTTGTTGTTGTTTTGGGGGTTTTGTTGTTGTTTGCTTTTTTTTGGTGGGTCTGGTGTTTCAACTCAGTGCTACCACTTTGGCCACATCTCCAATTCATTTTATTCTGACTATTTTGGAGCTGGAGTCTTATAAACTATTTCCCCAGGCTGGCCTTGAACTACAATCCTCCTGATCTCAGCCTTCCAAGTTGATAGGTTTACAGGGGTGAACCAACAGCACCCAGCATAGATATGTTTTTGAAAGGAACAGGGGTTAGGTGCTAGTGGCTCATGCCTGTAATCATAGCTTCTTGGGAGACAGAGATTGGGAGGCCAGAAAGAGCAACTGGTCCTCAAGACCCCACCTCCAAAATAACCAGAGCAAAATAGACTGGACGTACGGATCAATCAGTAAAGTACCTGCTTTGCAAACATGAAGATCCGAGTTCAAACCCCAGTCCCACCCCACCTCACCCTCAAAAAAAGAAAGGAATAAGGGTGTATAAAAAGTGGTAAGATAATAGGTGATTTTTATTTTATATTTGCTTGTCTGTACCTTACAAATATCATATCCTAAAGATGGATGACTTTTGTAACAACCACGAAAGGAAAGCTATTTTTAAAAGATCTATATGGCACTTGCAAATTTGATTTCCAGATTTCAAGGATCTCTTGATCCACATCAAAGCTTCTTAAATCAGAATGTCCTAAGTTCTGGGCCCACGTACTCAGCTGCCAGATGGACATGTTTATCTGAATGCTCCAAAATTACCTAGAGTTCAACATGCCCAAACCAGAACTTGTTACCTTTCTCTCTACAGCTCTGCCCTTTGCAGTTTGAGTTATACACGAAAGGTATATTTATTTTTTGGTGGTACTGAGGTTTAAACTCAGGCCTTGCACTTGCTAGGCAGGCATTGTACTATTTGAACCAAGACCCCAATCTAACATAATGGCACTTTGGGATGTCCAGTCACCAGCCCTCACTCAAATGGTTCTTGATTTTATCTAATCTTTGTCTGCCACATCAAATCAGTCAGTATGCCTAATCTGTCTCCCAGTATATTCTTCTATCTCCTTCCCTCTGTGTCCAGGGCCACCATCTTTGTTTAGCCCTCACTGTCTCTCATACAGCCTTCTGGCTGCTTTTCCTTTCACCCAAGTTTTCTGACTCAGCCAACTCCCTCCTCCTTCCATATGGACACTATTTATCTGAAAAACTGGAAATCTGAGTGGGCCATTCCTGCCTACTTCCTATAGGACACAGGCCAATATTCTGATGTATCTGCTTACCCCTGCCCCCTTTTCTTCTAGGCTCATCTCCAACAATTCCTCACAAACACATTCTGCTCCAGCTACAAAAAACCTACTCTCCATACTCTTGTGGCTGGATACATTTCCATATGCTGTTTCCTCTCCGGGGAATGTTCTTCCCCCTCACTCTCTAATGTTCTCAGATTCAAGACTAATAAAATACTCTGTGAAGACTTGAGCTTTCCTGTCACAGTTAGTTGAAAGCTGCATAGTTAAAACTAATATAGTTCTGTTAGCATTTATGACATTTGTAAATTTTGTTCCCATGACTATCTTTCCTAGGACAGAGTGACTTTCAAAGAAGGAGACCCTACTATGTAAATTTAGATGCCCAGAACCTAAATAATGACTTGCTCAAATTAGTTTCAACAGATATTTCCAGAAGGAAGTGGTGAAAAGAGAAGAATCAGGCCGGCTAGGTTGATTATGACACATCTAAATCTGAAGGAAGTGAAATTTTGGAAACTCAGATAAAATGTCAACATAATTCCAGAGATTTTGAAATCACTGTAAAACACTGTGTAAGAGAAATAGACAATTAAAAACAAAAAAACAAAAAACCAGTAACTGACAAGAGAAAGCATGGCACAGTGGAACAGTCAAGTGTTAAGATTCTGGGGGCTCTGCTCTGTTATTAGTTCAACAAATGACCACAAACATATTACTGAACTGCAAGCATTGGCCTCCTCAGTTGTAAAGATGATAGGACAATAAAATCACAAACAAAATGATTCCTACTCTGAGCACTGTACTAAGCTTTTTTATGAACATTCTCTAATTAAAGCCTTAAAACTATGTAACGTGAGTTTCATTGTCACCATTTTATAGATAAGGAAAATAAGGCTGAGAGAGGTTAAGTAACACTCCCAAAGTCATATTGCTGAGAAGTGGAAAAGCTGAGCTACAGACCTAGGTCTTTGTGACACTGAGCCCAGACACATAAAGGATGTCTGCTCCATAATTTACACATGGCTTAGGAGAGTTAGCAATGTTGGAAGAAGACTGGCTAGGAGATGCATCTGGAAGCTACATTGCAGAGCAAGCACATCAATTTACTTAGGAATGAATTTTTAAAGCTACTTCCCTTCACAGCATAGTACAGGCATTTCTGATAGGAATTTTGGTATTTCTATCATTCCATTAATTCTTTACCTTCATTTTCTACTTTTTTAGAGACCTGCTATTTAAATGTATATCCATTTTATGATAATGTTTTTAAGCATTTTTATTAGCATATGATAGTTACACAGGGGGCTTCATTGTGACATTTCCATATATACATATATTTACCGGTTGGTTTACCCTCTACATATTCTCCCTCTTCCCCCACTCCTCTCATTTTCTATTTTTGTCTCATCTATATCCAATAGATGTTATATCACTAAATTTAATGTATATATCTAAGCTGCCTGACATTCTCTTTGAAATAAAAGGTCACAAGTTAATGGGAAATAATTATATGGGAAAACAAACTGCAACAGTAATTTTTTTAAGTTAGTTAAATAACTAAGTATAAGTTTTTTACCTAACAAAGGTTGTCTTCTACTTTTTTCTTTTTCTTTTTCTTTTTTTCTTTCTGATGGGATTGGGGGTGTTGAACTTAAGGCTTTCAGCTTGCAAAGCCACACCTCTATCCCTGTTTTTCAAATTATTTTGCTGAGTGCTAATGAGAGAGATTAAACTAATAGATAGATAAATTATATATAAGCAAATATAGTATCTATTAGATATAATATATAACATATGTTCTTTGCCAATGGTACAGTGTATAAATTAGTACAATCCTTTAGAAAAGTAGTTTGGCCAGGCACTGGTAGCTCACGCCTATAATCCAAGCTACTAAGCAGGGATCCAGAGGGTCAAGGTTCAAAGCCAGCCCTGAGGAAAGAGTTTGCAAGACCCTATCTCAAAAACACCTAACACAAAAAAAGGCCTTGTGGAGTGGCTCAAGTGGTAGAGCACCTGCCTAGCAAGCACAAGGCCCTGACTTCAAACCCTAATACCACCAAAAAAATAAAGAAAAGCGGCTTGGCATTATATAAACAAATCATAAATATATTCAAAGTATTCAGCCCAAGAAATCTCCCTAAGCATTATTCACAACCTTTTCTTCTAAGTACAGTAATATTCAAATCTAAAATATAGAAAACTACATACAGAAATATACTTATTATAATACTATTTTAACAGTACCAATAACAGAGGGAAACTAAAATGGCCAATAGGATGGGTAAATTAAAGAAGGCACATCACTAAGGGTAATGTTTAACTACATAGTTTATAACCTGACTTTTTTTTCCCCAAGGTCTAATATATTTATTCAGAAAGTAGATTTTAGTACACACATGAAATGTTTTATCAAATTTGAAAGGCAACTTGAACATTAAAATTTCTTTTTTTATTTTAATCATATATTGTTTTTAAGTGAAAGGACAAATAAAAGTGATTATTTCTAATAATTGTATGAGTATTTATTTTTGGCATATAGAACAATTTAAAAAATGATCCAATTTGCCTGTCCAGTGTGCTAGATATACTGAATATGCCACTGGGTCCTCAAAATGCTACTGTTGATTTCAACTTAAATAACATGTGGTAAGACAGAGAGAAAATTAGCTTCATCACTGCTATGGTTTGGATCTCGAATGTCTCCCAAAGGCTTGGACCTTTGGTGCTTTGGCTGTTAGGTAGTGGGGCCTAGTGGAAGGAAGTTAGGTCATTGAGGGTATGCCCTAAAGGTGACCCCACCTCCCCTGTCTGCTTCCTGGGCACCATGAGATGAACATGTGTTTTTTCCATGATGTACTGTGCTACCATAGCCCCAGGGCAATAGGGCCAAGTGTCCATGAACTGAAACCTTCCCAACTATGAGTCAAAATAAACCTTTCTTTCTTAGAAGCTGATTTTCTCAGGTAGTTGTTACAGTAACAGAAAGCTGACCAACACAATCACCAAACTTTAATTTCTTTCTTCTCGGATAATATTTCTAGAAAATTCAAGAAACTAAAGATCACTAAGTGTGCCTTGATTCACCACCTATATTACTGAGCTTCTCAGGCTAGAGGAGTTTGGCATTTTCAGATAACCTGACTTTTGACCCACAAAACTTACAGCATAGTACACCTAAAACTGCATAAACAATGTGAATACATTTAAAAAACACAAGAAGGAATGCTCCAAAATGTTTTTAGAAATGTGATTGTGTGGCCATTTTATTATCTATCTTTTCAATTTTTGCTAATGTAACACTATGATATTTATAGTCTTTTATATTATTTAAAATGCTAATTTAAATTTATTAAAGAAAATTACAGCTCAAGTGGTAGAGTGCCTGCTTAGCAAGCAGGAGGTCCTGAGTTCAATCTCCAGTTGAAAAAAAAAGGAAAAGAAAAAAAATTATATGGGTTTGCATTAAGTGACCTCTAAGGTCCCAACTCCAAATTCTATGATTCCTTTAATAATTCCAGTATTTAAACAAAGGGGGAAGATATTAAAGAAATCAACCTAGCTGCATACCAAAATTTGGTGACTTCCTACAAAAACCAATAAATAACAATAAACGTAATGTTTAGACTAAGACATCCAAAACCAAGGATAAATGTAAAATATTCACCTGAATGACAAATGTCATCTTTTTTTTTATTGTTTTATTATTCATATGTGCATACAAGGCTCGGGTCATTTCTCCCCCCCTGCCCCCACCCCCTCCCTTACCACCTACTCCACCCCTCCGTCTCCCCCCCACCCCCTCAATACCCAGCATAAACTATTTTGCCCTTATCTCTAATTTTGTTGAAGAGAGAGTACAAGAAGTAATAGGAAGGAACAAGTGTTCCTGGTTGAGATAAGGATAGCTATACAGGGAGTTGACTCACATTGATTTCCTGTGAATGTGTGTTACCTTCTAGGTTAATTCTTTTTGATCTAACCTTTTCTCTAGTTCCTGGTCCCCTTTTCCTATTGGCCTCAGTTGCTTTTAAGGTATCTGCTTTAGTTTCTCTGCGTTGAGGGCAACAAATGCTAGCTAATTTTTTAGGTGTCTTACCCATCCTCACCCCTCCCTTGTGTGCTCTCACTTTTATCATGTGCTCAAAGTTCAGTCACCTTGTTGTGTTTGCCCTTGATCTAATGTCCACATATGAGGGAGAACATACGATTTTGGTCTTTTGGGCCAGGCTAACCTCACTCAGAATGATGTTCTCCAATTCCATCCATCTAAATGTCATCTTAATAACAATTCAGGCCAGGCCACAGGGCTCATGCCTGGAATCCTAGCTCCTCAGGAGGCAGAGATCAGGAGGCTCTTGGTTCAAAGCCAGCCCAGACCAATAGTTCACTAGACCCTATCTCAAAAATACTCAATACAAAAAAGGGCTAGAGGAGTGGCTCAAATGGTAGACACCTGCCTTGCAAGCATGAGGCCCTGAGTTCAAACCCCAATACCACCAAAAATAATAATAATAATAATAACAATTCGGAAACATCATTGTAAAATGTTCATGCTAACTTTGGATGGAAATGAAAAATTATTGCCAGCAAAGGAATTTCATGTTTTCCATGTGCTTAGTTGTCAAACATACCCACGAAGAATGATTTTCTATTCTGTAAGCAACTTGAAATGAATGCTTACCTCCCTTCAGAGCTCTGCAGAACGAATATTCATCATCGTATCCTCGGCAAATAACTTGTTTGCGCTTTGGCAGTTCCATGGAGTTGACGGTTATATAGAGATTGAAATATAATTTTTTTAAGTCTCTCCCTTGGAAAGAAAAATATTCCATTAGTCCCTCAAGTAACAGCTTCTTCTATACAGACTATTTCCTGCACACTTAACCATTGTCCTGTGCTCTTCCTACATTACTGCATTTCATCACCACAGCTGTTCCTGGGGTGAGCACCAAATGAGAAAACTCAACTTTCACGAGGGCAATGTTGTAGTCAACTAGAATGCTCCACCAAAGAACTGGGTGCCTATGCCTAAAAACAGAGAAACCTTCTTTACTTAATAGAGAAAACTACCAAGCAAAGACACAGATTTTTCAGGTCTAGTCAGTGCTGCTAGAAAATTCAAAGGAAAAGAAAGGGAGTGAGGACAATCAACTCATGCCAACTTCTTAGGAGCTTTGATGAAAGACTTTTGAAGAATAAAATTGAATCTGTTGGTTAAAAAATATATAGTTTTTAAAATTTCTTCATCTCTGTATTACCATTAACATGGACATTTTTAGTAAATACTACATTTTCCTGAACTTTTCCAAGTTATTCATTTGGCCCAAAGGAAAAAGTTGTGCAATCTTTTTTATAACGAAAACAATTATTATAACCACTATCTCATTGGAAATGTTTTCCTAAAAAGGTCACCATAGACCATTGTAGCCATAATCAGAGATAACTTTTCCATCAAATTAAAGTTAGCTATGCCAGGCCCTTCTCCTACCCCTCTTGGTTTTTAGGTTTTTTTTTTTTTTTTGGTTTTTTGGGTTTTTGAACTCAGAGCTTTAGTGCATCCAGCCCCTTCCTACCCCTCTTTGAAGCTGGTGCCACCACTTTCTTTCAGTTGACCTCCAACCTTCTGATTCCTTCTCAGTCTATATTGTTGAGTCTTCCTCCCCCTCCCCAGTACTGGGGATTGAACCCACTTGCTAGGCAAGTGCTCCACCACTTGAGCTATGCCCCTAGTCCTGAGTCTTAAGGTTCATCTTTAATTCTACTCAGTTTTCCCTCACTTGGGGTGCCACATCAGATGATATTCCAAAACCATCATCTTTAGTCTCGACCTTTTTTCAGAGTACCTGTTCCATATATTTATTCAACATCTCCACTCAAATGTTTCTCAGTTATCTCATACAAGCCCAAAGATAATTTCCTCGTCATCATCAAATGGGCACTAGAATTCCCATTCCTGAGGGGTAGGTATTGGAGGGGATGGGAGAAGGGGGGAGAAATGACCCAAACATTGTATGCACATATGAATAAAAGAAAAAAAAAGTAAAAAAAAAAAAAAGAATTCCCAGTCCTACTAAATCTTATTAGCCTCCTTTTCATCCCTGTTACCATGGCCTTAACATGGGCTTTCGTACCATCAAAAGTCCTAATTTGTTTCCATGGCTCTACTTTTGGATTTGGAAAAGAAGACCATAATAGGATCAGTTTCTTACTGCAATCTCCATGGACTTATGCCTGCACCTCTCCAAAAGCAGGACTGGGCTTGCCAGTAACCTGGCTGAGAGGATCTGAGAGGATCTCAAGGATGCATTTCAGTCTAATGATGGTCCTACTTAATTCTCCTTCCTTCTGTTTCACTTTTCTTCTTTTTTTATTCTTTTCCTTTTTGTTTGTTATGTTTTTCATGTTCCTTTTTGTGTTTTGAGACAGGGTGTCACTTTGTTGCCCTGGATGATCTCAAATTTGTGGGCTCAAGCCTCCTCAGCCTCCCTAGTGTCTGGAATACAAGCAGTTGCCACCATGCCTGGACTCTTCCACGTGTTTATTTGTGACAAAGTTTCACCATATAACCCAGGCTGGCCTGGAACTTGCAGTCCTCCTGCCTCAACCTCCCAAGTGCTACAGTTACAGGGTGTACCATCACACCTACTTCCCTTTCTTTTTTCAAAGGTATGAGACCTGCACTCCAGTCTGAATCCTCTCCATGTCTTCTCTGGCTTCCTCCTCCCTTTATTGTTCACAAGCATTTCCCTTAGTAAAACTCTAGTTTGTCTAATTCCTTCATGGTATCTGCCTTTCAGAGAACACTAAGTGGGCTCAAGTGGAAGAGTACCTCCCTAGCAAGTGCCATACCCTGACCTCAAACTCTAGTACCACCACCACAAAAAAAAAGATTGAATCAGAGAACTCTAAGAAATGCCATATTGTTTCATTATCTGAGACGAGAAGAATATAGCCTGCTTTCTGTAAGGGCAAGGGAATCACCTAAAAGTGAGATTATTGCTTATGTAAATAATCATTTATGCCACACATCTGGGAGTAAAGCATACCAAACAGATCAGAGAAAAGCACCTGGGAAATAGGAAGAAATTGCAGAGCCTTAGCTAGGCACAAAATTTACAGGATTTTTTTTTTACCAAGAGGTCAAAAAGATGGAGCAGTTAATCATTCTTTGTTCTATACTACCACAAAGTCTTACTACTATCATTTACCTCATTAGATCATATTACCTGCAAATCCATCTCTCCTATTGCACTGACAGATTCTTGAAGATCACAAGAATGTCTTATCAATGAATTCACAGAGCCTATCACAATATTTGAGATATGTTAAGTTTTCACTAAATATTTTTCCTGATGTGTGTGTGTGTGTGTGTGTGTGTGTGTGCTGAGTATCAAACACATGTGCCAGGGAACAAGCACTCTACCACTGAACTACACCCCTAACCCCAAGTGTTTTTTGATAAATAAATGAACACAGGACAATGTATCAAAACACGAGTGGAACAATTAGATTCAGAGAAATAAAAATTCAAGTTCATTGTCTATCACACCTTTTTTCTTGTAAACTAGAACACTATAATCTGGGGAGAGGTAAAATTTCTTTAAGCTTACTTAAAGTGTGAAAGCACCTTGTAAAGTGCAAAACAAGCTCCAAATCTAAGCTAGGATGCAGATGATGATAATGAAGAGGAAAGATTATAATTAGTCCCCTGAGATCCCACCAATGTTGGCTGGCCGATAGGAGAGGATAAAAAGTTTGTGTTTTCACAGACACTGTACAGGCCAGTCCAATGCTATCACCCACCACACCCATTCCTTTTTACTATGCCAACAAGTAATGAACCATAGACAGGAAAAGCAAGATACAACACAAAACAAAGCGCATTGCCTTCTTTCATCCTATCATTATCATATCTTTCTCTAGAAGGGTCAGTTTTTTGTTGGTGTTTGTTGTCACACTGGGGATTGAACCCAGGACCTCAGCCATACTAAGTTAAGTTCTTTACCACTGGGCTGGTAGAATGGCTCAAGTGGTAGAGCGCCTTCCTAGCAAAGCCTAGCAAGCAGGAGGCCCTGAGTTCAAGCCCCAGTAGCGCCAAAAATAAAAGGAAAAAGAAATTCTTTACCACTGACCACATCCCCTAGTCAGGACATCTTTTAAAAAAGAGTTCCAGCTTGCTTACACACAGATCTTAAACTAGCAGAAACTCAACATATTTCCTAGCTGAGTAGTTAATGATTGGAAAGGATATACACATGAAAGAATTGTTGAATGTCCCCATTTATTTCCACCCTATCCCATGTCCTGGTATAGTTCCCTCTGCATACTGCAAGTCGGCCTTGTGACTTGCTTCTAATCAACAGACTACAGCAAAGGTGATAGTATGTCATGTCCATGATGACTACACAAGATTATGGCTTCAGTCTTGTTACCTGGCATCTCTTTTGCGGTTTTGATGAAGCAAGTAGCTATGTTAAAAGGTCCACACGGCTAGGAACTGAGGGATGGCCAATGACCAGTATCCAGAAACAGCACTGCCAAGAACCACATGGCCTTCTCTAGATTAGCCTTCAGAAGAGAACTCTGTCCTGGTCAATGCCTGGATTGTAGCCTTTTTGGAGACCCTGAAGTTGATACACATAAGCCATGCCCAGATTACTGACCCACAAAGACTGCAAAATAATAGATGAGTGCTGTGTTAAGCCACTAAGATTGTGGTAGTTCTTTGCATAGCAACAGATAACAAATACAAATGCATTTGGAACACAATTATTTATCATTGATAAGTTCTTGAATCTTTTATTGATCTAAAAACAAAAATTTGTACTTACTTGGAATGTAGGAAATATGCAAAAATCCATTGGTTCCCTTTAATTCTATACAGGGTTCAGTATGAACTGAAATAGGGAATTTCATGTCATCTAAAAGGAATAAAGATGAGGTTAATCCATTATTATAAATAACTGCAAATAAGTATAATATTCTGAATACCAGCTCCCAAAATATTCCTTTTGCATTAAAATTATATAATGAGAATATCTGAGGATGGTTAAAATATCTCTCCAGAAGAGTGATATAAGCAACATAATAGAGTCGGAAGCCCTAGATTTACTCACACAAACAAAACAATTCACAAATTCCACTTGAGAAAAAATCAGAAACTAATTAAAAGGTTCCTACATTCAGGAGAATATAAAACCACACCAAAAGCCACTAGGAAGATTTAGGATACCTCTCTCCAGGCTCCCTTACCCTAGTGCAACTCTATACAATTAGGAAGCAACTTGGCTCCCAGCTTCCCCCAGGGGAGAGAAGAAATTTGTTTGCAAGTCCAGTACCCCAACTCTTCTGAAGGAGCTCCCCAGAGGACTGTATTTCTGTTGGCCTGTCTTGGAGTGCTGATAGATTGGTCTGCAACAGCCTAGCTGCATAGGAGAAAACGGAGGCAATGACTGGGTATAGTAGACCCTATTGAGCCTCCCCTCTGCTCAGCACAGTGTAAGCAGATGAAGAATCTCAGTTCTCGGCCTTTTCCCTGGGAAACGAAAGAGTTGATCCAAGTATCCATTATCCCAAATTCTCTGGAGATCCAAAAATGACTAGTATCTGTATCACTGATCCTGGAGTTCTAATGGGTCTAGTACAGTATGTTTACTTGGGTAGGAGATGTCTGCTTGGACTAGTAGATGCTATATCTCCCAGCTCAGCACAGAATGAGCAGACAAAACTACATCTGCCTGCTTCTCCTTGGAGAGAGACAGAGTTGATAGAAGTTCCAAGAACATCTGGGGAGGCTAATTGATGAGGGTCTTCTGTGTGAATCCAGTCTGTGAAGACTGGTAGACGTTCCTGCTTTGTCTAATGTATAGACACTATCACAGAGAAGAAAAATGAAGAATCAGGCAATGTGCACCAAACAAAGGAATAAGATAAAGTTCCATAACTGACCCTAAAGAAATGAAGCTATATGACTTACCTAACAGAGAATTAAAAGTAACTCTCACGAAGATGCTCAGTAAAGTCAAGAGAACAATGCATGCAGCAAAGTGAAAAAATATTAAAAGTACCAAACGGGGCTGGCAGCATGACTCAAGTGGTAGAGATCCTGCTTAGCAAACACAAGGCTCCAAGTTCAAATCCCAGTACTGTACTCCCACAAAGTACCAAACAAGCCATGGAACTGAAGACCATAATAACTGAGGTTATTATGAGGTTTTTCAACAGCAGGCTAGATCAGGCAGACGACAGAATCAGCAAACTCAGAACAGACAACTTGAAAATAATTCAATCTGAGGAGCAAAAAGATAAAAGGATGAAGGAAGCTTAAAGAAGTTATGAGACACCATCAAGCAGGCCCATATACACATTTTTGTAAGAGTACCAAATGTAGAAGAGAAAGAGAAAGAACTAGAAAATGTATTCAAGGAAATAATGGCTGAAAATTTGCCAAATCTGTGGAAGGAAATAGAAACCTAAACCTGAGAGCCATATTTCCACAGGTATTCCAGAGAAAGCCACATCTCAGTCTGAAACATCACCACTGTCCAGGAAGCCAGCAAGGGCAATGGCTGCTCAGGAGGTTGAGGTGAAAGGATCTCATGAATCCAGGTGTTCAAGACCAGCCCGCTCAATGTAGTGAAACTCTGTCCCAAAAAAGATAAATAAATAACAAAAAGGGTCAATCTACCAGGAAGACATATCAATTATAAATATACATGCACCCTAAAACAGAATCCCTAAATACATGGAGCAAACAGTGACAGAATGAAGAGAAAAAGATAGCAATGCAATAATAGTAGGAGGCTTCAATATTATACTTACAATAATGGATAGAACATCCAGATATAGAACAGCTTTAGATTCCTAAAAAAAATAGGAATTGAGCCAGGTATCAGTGACTCATGCCTGTAGTCCTAACTACTTGGAAGACTGAAATGGGGAGAATCAAAATTCAAGGCCAGTGCAGGTAATAGTTTGCAAGACTCCATCTCAAACATAGCCAGAGCAACATGGACTGGAGGTGAGGCTCAATGGTAGAGCACCTGCTTTACAAGCACCAAGTCCTGAGTTTAAACCCCAGTCCCACCAAAAAAAAAAAGAATTGGAATAATAGAATTAAATAATTCTATATACCAAATGATACTATATTTGTCAAATATACCGCATTTCACTCAACAGCAAAAGAATACACATTCTTCTAAATTATACACAAATCTTTCTCGAGGTAAACCACATTTTGGGTCTTAAAACTGTCACAAGACACAAATAGTGATATTTTCTAATTATAAAAGGGTCAATCTAAGTCCAGGTTGGTGGCATGCACCTGTAATGCCAACTCCTTAAGAAGAGTAAGTGATACCAAGTATCTTTTCCTACCACAATTGGATGAAACTGGAAACTACAGGAGAAGGAAAACTAGAAAATTCACAAGTATGTGGAAATTAAAAACATATTCTGAACAAATCCCAGGATCCAAGAGGTTAAGACAGGAGGATAATGAGTTTGAGGCCAGCCTGGGATACATAAAGACACTGTCTCACAAAAAGAGAGAGAAAGGGTGGGATGCACTGGGTATGTAACTCTATGGTAGAGCACGTGCCTAGCATGCTTGAGGTCCTGAGTTTAATTCCTAGTACCAAAAAAAAGAAAGAAAAGAAAACTGCAATCCTATTTTCCTCATTACAGATGCAAAGATATGAAAAGTCTCACCAAAATATTAGCAAACCAAGCTATGTGTGCATGGTAGCAGGTTCCTGTAATCCCAGTTACTCAGAAGGCCAAGGTAGAAGAAAAATAGCTTACAGCTAGCCTAGGCAATATAAGCCTCTGTCTCAAAAAAAAAAATTGAAACCAAATTCAACAGTTCCTTAAAAGGATCATATGGGCTAACCTGGAATTATTTGTGAGATAAAGGATGGTTCAATATATGAAAACTGGGGCTGGAAGAATGGCTCAAGAAGTAGAGCACTAGCCTAGAAAGCCCAAGACCCTGAGTTCAAACCCAGCACCACCCAAAAAATATAAAAATCAATTATATTTAATATGCTATTCCACATTAAAAGAATTAAAAGATAAAAATCACATGCTCATCTCAATAGAAACAGAAAAAGCATGACAAAAATTCAATACTTTTCATTACTAAAAACTCTCAACAAACAAGGAATGTAAGGTGATTACCTCAACGCAATAAGGATCATACATGCAAAGCGTATCAGTAACAACATACTCAGTGATGAAAACCTGAAGGCTTTTCCACCAAGATCAGGAACAGAGCAAGAATGCCTGCTCTCACCACTCTTAAGCAACGTAGTTCTGAAAGTCATCGTCAAAGCAATCAGGCAAGAAAAGAAAGTTATCCACACTGGAGGGAATATGTAAAATTGTCTTTTTGCAGAGCACATTTTCTTTTTTTGGGTCAGGATCTCACTGCGTGGCCTTGAATTTATGGTCCTCTGGCCTCAGCCTCCCAAGTTTAGGGATTACAGTGTGCACTAGTATACCGGCAAGTGCACTCAATCACGTTGAATTTCCTGAGTACTGGGAGTACTTTTTATTCTAATGGGTGACTCTTTATGATCTTTTGGATAGGGCCTGGTCACCAGAAAAAACAAGCCATGATAAAAGCCTAGAACTTTCAGCCTCACCTATCCTCCAGGAAGGGGAGCGGTGCTAGAGACTGAATTAATGATAATGTCTTTCTGGTTGTAGTGGCACATGCCTGTAATCCCAGCACTCTCAAAGTTGAGGCAGGAAGAGTGTGAGTTCAAGGCCAGGTCTACAAAATAAAACCCTGTCTCAAAACAGAAACAAAAATAAAAATAGACTATGCCTACATAATGAAGTCTCCATAAAAATTTCTGACCTGTGAGGTTAAGAGAATTCCTGGGGCTTGGTGCCAGTAGCTCACACCTGTAATCCTAACTACTAGGCATGCTGAGATCAGGATTTAGGTTTGAGGCAAGTCTGGGCAATAGTTCTAGACACCCCTCTCCAAAATAGCCAGAGGAAAAAATGGACTGGAGGTGGAGCTCAAGTGGTAGAGCCCCTGCTTTGTAAGCATGAAGCCCTGAGTTTAAACCCTAGGCCAACCAAAAAAAAAAAAAAGATCCAGACCTGGCACTTTATTATGGCAACAGAAAACAGCTGAGATGGAGTTACTTAACCGGCACAGAGGGTCTGCTTGACATGAGGAAAACGTTCTGGAAATGGATAGTCGTGATGGCTGCACAACACTGAGAACATGCTCAGTGCCACTGAGTCATTCACTTTAATGGTTACAAGGGTAAATTTTACATTGTGTCTGTTGGATTGGTGATAGACGCAAGAACAACAAAAAGAGCATGCAGCAGGAATGGAGAACAACGAGTTGGGGAGATCACAGGGTCAGTCAGGTAAACAGGGGTCTCTTTATCTAAGTAATATTTTCAAAAGATCTCTCTGGCCTCCATTTTAAGGACAGATTGTGTGGGGGCAAAACACAAAGCAGAGAGAATACAATTTAAGAGGCCAAAGGAAAGATGACATTGGTGTGGGTGGTAGCAGAGGTTGAAAAAAGTAGTTGGGTATAGGGCTACGGGTGTAATCCAGTGGTAGAAGGCGTGCAGTGAGGTCTGGGTTCAATTTACAGCACTACAAAGGAAAAAGGGGAAAAGGTTGGATAAGGAATATATTGTGGATACTGAAAATAGAAACTACTGATAAGTTGAATGTGATAGGCAAGGGAAAGAGATAATTAAGGATATTCCTGGTTTGGGGCCTAAGGAATTAGGTAGATGATGATATGGGTAACACTTAGAAGGAAATAGAGTTGGGTGTGGTGGTACATGCCTACAATCCCAGCCACTCAGAAGGCAGAGATAGGATGTTCACAGTGTGAAGACAGCCCAGACCAAAAGTTATCAAGACCCAGTCTGAAAAACAAACAAGGCACAAAGCAAAAGAAAGAAAACAAACAGAAGAAGGAAGGGAAAGAGGGGAGGGAGGGAGGGAAAGAGGAAAGGAAGGAAGGTATAAATCAAGATTTCTAGCTCCAGATGTCTGTTAGACTTCCTAGTGGCCATGGTAAGTTTGTAGAATAAAATAATGACTCCTAGTGATTTGTATAGTTATCCTTTCTACAAAATAAAAGTCAGAGAGTCCTTGAGAGTACAGGCTATATCTTTCATAGCTTTTGAATTCTCAGTTCTCATTAGTATAATGACTAAAACCTATGTCACTTCAATAAAGACTTATTAAACTGACTTAATTCAAGTAAGTTGCCTGGGCTTTATCACTTAAGCCACTCCACCAGCCATTTTGAAGGCTAAACAAGGTACAGAAAACTTATTTTTATAGTAAAAAAAATTGGGCTGATGGAGTGGCTCAAGTGGTAGAGTGCCTGCCTAGTAAGCATGAGGCCCCAAATTCAAACACCAGTACCATCAAAAAAAAAAATACAGTGTTACGTATCTATGGAATTATTACATGAAACCCCCTTGTACTATTAATGAATTCTAAATTTTTAATTGTTCTTTAAGGACATAACAATATGTACTAAAAGCCATCAAATAATGGGGGAGAGTAGATAAAGGAGAATAACAGAAAACAGTTGAACTGACCAAAGTAAAGCATATTCACAGCTGGACTGCATTAGAAACCCCTTCAAACATTGACTCTGGAATTAATAAAGACAGAAATGTAAAATAGGCATGGGGGGGTTACTAGTGGGAAGGGGGAGGGAGAATGGAGGACATGAAGGTGAAGGACCAGGGCTGATAGACTTCACATACATATATGAAATAGAATGATGAAACCTCTTGCAATATCTTTAAGTGGGACAGGGAGGGGGTGGCAGAAATGGGAGACAGAGGGGGTGATCTAACCAATGTACAATGTAAGGCTATTCAAAATTGTCACAAGACATACCCCACCCCGTACAATGAATATATGCTAATAAAAATGAAAAAAATTATTCTTGAAGCCACCTATGGTAGTGCGGTATTTTGTAATGGTAGCCAGAACTAAGATACTGTATTTGCATAACAGCTTGGCTAAATAGAAATTTATCTCTTGTTTTTTTTATAGAAATCATTCTCACAGTCAGGACTGACTCAAGGGATGTCACTGTCACCAACATCCACGCACTAACACCTAGAGGATTCCATGCTCCCCATAGGTGAGGCATTTTTGGCTCCAAGGATTCTCTTAGGCAAGAAAGGGAGTGTTGTGACAGTGAGGATGGTGGCCATGAGAGTAGAGTGCACTCAACTATACCCTATAGGCCCTTTGTCAGGGGGCCACAAGACAGGACCACTGGATTTCTCAGCATACGACAGCAAGAGGTAAGGTTCTCCTTCAGGAAATTGCATCAAAAGTCAAAGCGAGCTATTGTTACTAAAAAAAAAAAAAATTAAAAACTAATGCGAACTGTTCAGTCTTCAAAGGCCACATGAAAGCTGAAGGAGGTGATGGAGATGGAGGCCAGTGAACAGGAAGGGGGAGAAGAGGTCTGATGGAAGCAAGGAGAGATTTAAAGACAGGTTGAGAAGGAATTCAGCATGATCTACCACAGAAGAAAGCCTGCAGTGGGTGACTGTTCTTTGTCTAACACACCAAGTCTGTTCTCACACCTGGCGATTAGCTTGAATTCTTAGAAGCAACTGTCTATTAGCATTGGCCAGAATGTGTTTCAGGAATAGTCAATACACACTCCCCCAAAATATACTAAAATACAATTTAAAAATTTGTGGCACAGAGGCTTCTTTGTTACAGAACTTCTCAGAACTCAAGGTACAATTGTAAATCTTCCCCAAATGGTTAGGCCAACGATCCTTTCTTCTCAAAGAACTAGTATTTGGGGAAGCACTCGGACATTGACATTGCCAGAGGGCAGAAAAGGGACTTGGGCCCATGGTGAGCAACAGTGGAAGGTACCTACCAAAAGAGCTGTCAGCACTGAAGCTGCTAAGGAGAAGGTGGGGAGCAGGAGTAAGGATACAACCAGTTAATTGTATCAGAGTGCAGCTGGTTAAAAAAAATAAATCAGCCTGGCAGGGTAGCACACTCAGGCATCCCCATCTCCCAGAAGACTGAGGCAGGAGTATTCTGAGTTCAAGGCTTAGGCCAGGGCTTGTCTCAAATATACAAACAAACCAAAACTCAATATTATTGTGTCCATGCCACTCCATGCTGAAAACTACCTCACAGCAATTCTTACAAAGCAGTCTCTAAAATCACTTTCATTTTAGAACGAAGTAAGATGCAGTTCCAGCTGACTAATTTTTTTTCTGTACCAGTTCATTTTTCCAACTAATAGAATAAAAGCAGTTTATTTTTTTTTTAATGGCGCATAAAGAGACTAGAATCCTTTGCTCAAGGTCACAGAGCTAGTAACTGACAGGCTAGGCTTGCATCCATCTAAGGAGATATTTCCAACAGCCCTCTAAAATCACAGTCTGCAGCAGAAATCCCCTCCAGGAAGCAGCTAACTCTGTTCTACCTTCTCAGGAAGAACCAGTTAGTCATGGGGTTGAGGCAAAAAGCTCAGATGCCTCAGTGGGAAGAACCCAAAATTGGGCACAAAGTAGAGATGGTTGGCCACAAAGCTCAACAGAACCACTGGGGGCAGGGAGGGGATGAATCTCACCAGTTTAGAGATTTATGAGCTCTCTCTCGGAGAGAAGATCCACTCAGGGAAGTGCCCCGAAAGCAGCAGCTGGAACACACAGACATTTCCTGTGTCCACATAGCCACATAGATTCCTGGAAAAAACTTATCCTGGAAATAACAGATGCTACAGTTATTTGTAGCATTATTTGTTTACTTACCACAGTATGTGTATGAAAAAGTTGCATCGGAGGAGTTACAGGACCAGTGTAGTTCCTCGGGTTCAGCAAATATGGAAGAAAACAGGGTAGAAAAAAGCATAAGTGGTAACATGATTCAGTATTTCCAAAGCTTTAAAAAATGCAAGGATAAGAAACTATTCATCAGACTCTTCTCTTAGAGTAAGTAGGAAAGATTTAACTTAGTCATCAGTCACGTGGTTTCTGAGTACCTATCCAACTGTTTCCTCTTTTTAGGTCTGCAAGTGTGACTGTGTCTTTAATATTTAAGCACTTCCTTCAAGGAGAGAGAGGAAATGATTTAGAATATTGTGTATTTGGACACTCCATGTCAACGAAAGTGATCAGAGCTTTAAAAACAAGACAAGACACTTCCCAGTCAACAGCAAAAACAAAACAAGGGAATGGGTGCCAGTGAGAGGTGGAGGATGTGGAGAGAGTGTGTAGGAGGGTGACTAAGGTACAAATATTGTGTACACATGTATGTAAATGGAAAAATAAGACTTGTTGAAACTATTCCAGGAATTGAGGGAGGAGGATAAAGGAGAAGGATGGAGGGGGTGGATTCAACTACGATATATTGGAATAACTTTGGTAAATGTCACAGTGTGCCCCCAACACAACAATAATTTTAAAAAAAGAAAAAACAAAATAATAACTCATAAACTGTATACTGTGTATTTAAAATTGGTTAAGATGATAAATTTTATACTATTTTTATCACTATTTAAAAATAAGCAAGTGAAAAAATAAAAGATGAGAGGGAAAAGTAAAAAAAAAAGTCAAAACCCCACAAATATCTCCTAGAGATCTCAAAATCCCATTTCCTACTAAAAGGAACCAGAATTTCTTAGAGAAATTGTTGATTCCAGATCTGGGGCAGAAAATGTACAAGATGAGCCAGGAATACCTTATCATATTAGATAACCAATTCAAAGAGGATTTTACTGACCTGTTTTTAGTTTCCTATTGTAGCTGTGATGAATTATCACAAATTTAGTGGCTTAAAACAATACAAACATGTTCTCTTGCAGTTCTACAGAAATACGAAATCAATTTCAAAGTCAAGATGTTGATATCGAGCAAGGGCTCAAAGCCTGGCTCACATAGAAGCCAACACTACAGCAGTGGTTGTTGAAAAAAGAAAAAGCTTTAATGTACCCCTGACAAGGAGACAGGAGCCTTCTGTCTCGCTTACTGTCCAATGGGGAAGGAATTTAAGAGGGACAGGGGCAAGGGGAAATAGAGGACTGACGAGTCATAACCAGAAGTATTGGTGGGACAGGTACACCAGTCCAGGTAGAACTTCTAATGTAAATAGGAGTAGTTTCTGGTTTCTATTATTCTGGTCTAAGTGCACTAGGCCTTGTTCTCTTTCTTCAGGTGCTGCTCATAGAAGATATTTGGTTCCACTAGGCTGTCAGGATCATTTTAGGTCAGGTCCTAGGACCTGCTCCTGTGTCCTGAAATACCATTTGAACAGTTCTTGGAACAGGTGAACTGCCTTTCTGTGGCTCAGTTTCAAGCTCAGCAGTATGAAGATTGAAGGAAGAGAATTCTTTTCCTTGTCTTTTTCAGCTTCTAGAGCTGCAATTCTTGCATTCCACCATCTTTGAAGTAATCACTCCAGGTGCAAGTGGTAGAGCACCTGCCTAGCAAAGTGCATCCCTCCAATCTCTTTTTCCATCACCCCACCACTCTGATCCCCTGCCTCCCTCTTTATGAGGACCACTGTGATTGCAGTGGACCCATCTGGATAATCCAGGATAATCAAACGCACTCCTTAATTTCGTTATATCTGCAACATTCCTTTGCCACATAAGATAACATTCAGTTTCTGGTTATCAGAACATGAACATTTTAGGGTGCCATTATTAAATCTACCAATATGAGTATATAAATATTAATAAGATGACATCTACAATAAATTGAAATCCATCAAATATATTTAAACCCATGAGCTCATAGCACACTTTATAAGTCTAATTATCTTGAGATGATGACAGGAAAACAATTACTTGTGTGTGTGTGTGTTGTGCTGGAGATTGAACCCAGGGCCTTGTGCATGCTACACAAGCACTCTAACACTTAAGCCAAACCCCCAACCCTGAATTCCATTTTTAAAACTGATAAATAAAAGTAAAGAATTGAGCATTTATTCTGCCTTTGCTGTGCAATTGAACAACACAGTAACCAAATAGAGAAGGTCAAGTTTTGCTTGTCTTGTACTCTATCTGTACATTTAGTATTCCCACTAATAAGTGAAATAAAGGAATAATACAATATAATCAGTTTGTAATACCTATTGAATTAGTGGATTTAGGCATGGAGCACCAATAGTTGCTAACATCACAAAGAGACACATACAAAAAAAGATATTAATAAAAGAACACTGTAGTAGGGCTGCTCTCTTGGCCCATTTACTCTGGAGGAAGCAAGAAATCCTAAAGAGATCGTGGAGAGAAACTGAGGCCTCCTGTCAAAAAGCTCACACCAAGTTGTCAGTGATGTAACTGAGCCATTTTGGACACAGTTCTTCCTGCTCCAGTCCAGCCTTTAGAGGGCAGCAGCACAAGCTAATGTGTTGTCCACAACCTCATGAGAGAACTTAAGCCACAGCCACTAAGCTAAGCCATTGCCCAATTCCAGGTGCAGACACAGAGGCCATTTGTTGTGGGTTTGTTTTACTTTTATTGATGGTACTGGGGTTTGAACTCAGGGCCTCACACTTGCTAGGCAGGTGCTTTTACCACTTGAGTGGCTCTGCCAGCCCTGTGTCTGTATTGGGTTTTTTTTTGAAATAGGGTTCTTGAACTATTTGTCAGGGCTGGCTTTGAACTGTGATCCTTCTAATCTCTGCTTCCCAAGTAGCTAGGATTATAGGTGTGAGCCACCGGCACCCGGCCACAGAGGTGATTTATTATGCAATAATAGTTAGCTCATCTAATAGAAATAGGAATTTTGGATCCCAGCCCCAAACTCCTGGGCTTCCACGTATATGATAAATAAAGAGAAAGGGGCCGAGGAAGGAGATTTATTATATAGCCTGGGAAACACCAGGGGAAGTCTAAGTAAGCACTCAGCCTATCTTCAGCCACCATCTGGACACAGATACACACTTTAGCTTTAAGTAGACAAAGAATTAGAGCAGGTGACAAAAAGTATGCACAAGGGGGTGGGGGCAGGGGGGAGAAATGACCCAAGCCTTGTATGCACATATGAATAATAAAACAATAAAAAAATAAAATAAAACAGTAAAAAAAAATATGCACAGTTAAATAGTGCCAGTCACAAATGAGACCTGGTTAACCATTATCTCAGTCCTCACCCTTTGAGGATTCTGGAGAAGTTATCACTGTCATCACTTGAGGGGAGCAATCTGGTTCCCATAAGATGATTACTCCTGCTTCAGGGTGCAGCCTCCTCCTTATAGGAGTTGTCCTCACTTGGGGGCATTGTGAGGTTCTGTCCTGCAAGGCTCCGATGTTCCTTTGGTGTAGTTTCAGTCCCTTGTCATAAAGATGTTGATCAGTCCTGTCCTTTCTTTTTATTTATTTATTTATTTTGGTGGAACTGGGGTTTGAACTCAGGGCTTCACGCTTACAAAGCATGCGCTCTACCACTTGAGCCACATCCCCACCCCAAGTCGCATCCTTTCTTGAGTCCAAGGTGGCTACAGGAGAGAATGGTTCAGAGCACAGTCATCTGTGAAGTAGTCTAAATTACTCAAATCTCACTTTGATCTTTTTAAAACCCAACTGCCAATTTATGGGAAGACAGGGAACCATGATAAAATATACCTCAGGAGTACAATCAGAAAATCTAGACCACAAGAAAATCTAAAGAACAAGCAACTCAGTTTCTTCAACAGATAATTTGCAATGGAAAGAGTGAAATAGAGGGACTCATAGAAGAATCTTAAAAGACATTTCTGACCCAGTGTGGTGGTATATGCCTGTTATCCCAGCACTTGGGAGGTAGAGGCCAAAGGACCTTGAGTTTGACCCCAGCCAGGGCTACATAGTGAGTTCAAAAGCAAGACCCTGTCTCAAAAAAAAAAAGGTATTTCTTTATTTTGCTGTACTGGTGTTTGAACTCTCAGGACTGCACACTTATGAGGCAGGCACTCTACCGTTTAAGCCACACCTCCAGCCCTTTTTGCTCTGGTTATTTTGCAGATAGGAAAAGGATTGCAGTGATATATTTAATTGTAAATGTGTTTATTATCTGATATATGCCAGATGTAAGCTGGAATCACCCTACTTTTGAGACTCAAATCAAGTGGACTCACCACCATTTCCCCTTGCCAGCCTCTCTCAGATAATCCTAGCTGGGATAAGAGCAGTAATGTGAAGGAGATGCATATATTTCCCCTCCTTCCTTTGGCCTGTTTGTTTCTGCTGACTTATTTCCTTGCAGCTCTGTAGAAATAAAAGCTGATCTTGGGCATTGCTTAAAGTACTTCCTTGCCTAATCCTCTTTTGATGTATTTCCAAAGTGAAAGAGGACATGTTCTTCCCAACCCCCAATGATGTAAACCAATAAAAACTTTTCACAGGTGACAAAATGATCACATAGACATAGGACATTTAAAGAGATATGCACATCCTGCCCGAGTGTGAGCTTACCTTTCTGTTCTTTGTATTGTAATTCATCTCATTATCTGTACAGCAGTGGTGTCTACAATGAACGTTTCCTGGTATTGCATCTTGGGAATTTGTGTGTATTTTGTTGAAGGCTAAACATTTGTATAAATGTATTTGGGTTATTACAGTAAAGGCTTTAATGCCAATTTTTTTAAGACATCACACTTAAATTATGAAGGGGAATCTTGAGAAAACTTTAAAATGTTATCCAATGCTATTTTTCCTAGGTAAAGTTCTGTGTCTGTTCTGGCTGATCCTCAGAGGGCAAGATCAAGGTTCCAGGAGGATGGCTTTTCTGCCTCACACTGTCCTCTAGGGGTAAACTTCTAGCAGCCTCAGACTTGAATGACCTTTCCCTATAAATATATGTGCAAGCCATAAAGATTCAATTAAACTTACTATCCTGGCTGGCCACAGATGTTAGGCAGCTCCATAAACATAGACTGGGGGTTTTGTTCTTAACTGTGACTCTGGTAACTTGCAAAGTACCAGGTACACCTCAGGCACTTAATATACCATCTACTGATACAAATATCATAATTTGGCTGGGCAGGGCAGCACAGATTATAGATTATACAGATTATGTAGATTACAGATTATAGAATCCCAGCTATTTAAGAGGTTTACAGTTCATGGGCAGCCCTGGCAAAAAGGACTGGACTCTACCTGAAAAATCACTGAAGTGAAAAAGGGCTGAGGGCATGGCTCACTAACAAAGCACTTGCCTAGCAAGCCCAGGACCTTGCATTCAAAACCTGATACCACCAAAATAAATAAATAAATGATTTGAATCCTGTTGCTCCTGACTGAAAATTCTTTAAAAGAATCAATTTTCAGGCTGGCAGAGAGGCACAAGTAGTAGAGCACCTGCCTAGCAAGTGTGAGGCCCTGAGTTCAAACCCCAGTACCACCACCAAAAAAAAAAAAAGAAGTGCCTCTGGGCATCTGGGCATGGTGGTGCTCACCTGTAATCCCACCATTTGGGAGGCTGAGGCAGGAGGAGCTTGAGTTCAAGGGCAGTCTTGAACAACCTTGAACTGGATTATCTAAAAAAAAAATCAACTTTCATTTTACTATTACAGGTAAAGCTCTTAAAATTGATAAAGGTAGCATAGATTGCTATTTTGTAGAAGTCCATCTACTTAAAGTTATCAGTGATTTCCTCACTCTTGTAGGGTACATCAAGGAAGAGAGCACACACAGAGGGACAAATGGGGCCACTAAAGACAGCACTACTTAGGTTACCATTTCCCTTATGTCTATGTACATAGACATTCTTATGGCAACCATGACAGAGATAGGCAAGAATCTGTTCTGAACCAAAGAACACAGACTGCTTCCCATACTTTGTGAATTTAAAAAAAAAAAAAATTTAAGTAGAAAAAGAATATTTCTACACTTAGAAAAATCCAAACAAAAAGAAAATATAAACCTCCTTTTGCTTCTGATACCCAACCCCCAGTTTAGAGGCGACTACACTTATATTACCCATGGGTGTACCAGCATGTACATGGATACTCACATTTTAAACAGAAATGACAGACTGTGTTTTAAACAAAAATGACAGACTAGGTTTTAACAGAAATGATAGACTGTTTTGTTTTTCAAACATACTTTATTACAAAGGAACATTATTCTCTGAAAATTAATGAGAAGCTCTGTTAAAATTATTTTTAAAATCACTAAATAAAAAACTAAAGGCAATCTTACTATACATTGAAACATAAATCACATTTAAGCATAAACATAAAAACAACAGGCTCATTTCTCATCTTCATGCTAGTTCTTTTCACCGGTTTCTTCTATATCAAAAGTGAATGGTTTGTCATAACCCATGAGATGGTTATAGTCTTCTGGGTTTGGAAAGAGAACTGGATTAACCAACAGTGATTTTGTTTTAGCATAAAATGTGGTAAACATATGTGTGCTGTCTGGAATCTTCACATCATTCTGGTGAAACACTGTACTTGTTTCCGAAAGCAAAACGTTGTAAGTAATGGCTTTGTAAGTGTCTGTTGTGGCCTCATGGTACAATCGAATGACATAGCCTTTTGTAAGAAAGTGAAGCAATGCTGGAGTGATCACTGTGAAGCTTCCCATGATGCCATAAAATAAGACTTGCAAGGGCAGACTTCCAAATATAATATTATTTTGTGCAAAAATATATGGTAGAAAGGCAAGGCTGATCATACTTGTAGAATAAGAGAAACATTTCACACCTAAAGGGAAAATAAATGGGAGAGGATACTTTTAAATTTTACAAAACAATCTATCATACTAATTCTTATACTTTCTTCTTTCCTATCACCATCAAAACAACTACAACACAAGCAAAACAGAAATAGTGCTTTTGATATGCCAGGTTCTGTCTTAAGCAATTTACATATTTTATTCATGAAGTCTACAGAAAAGCCCTAGGAGACAGATGTATAATTATCATCATCACAATAAAAAAAATGAGAATAGGTAGGTCAGCGTGGGTACATAGAGAAACCCTGTCTCAAAAAATAAAAATAGCTTTGTGGTGGAATATTTGCTCAGTGTGAGTGTGCCCCTGGGTTGATAACCAGCACAGACAAAAAACTGAAATAAAAAATGAGAAAAATGAAGCATTTGTACAATGTCATATAGCTACCAAGTAGCCAGGTGAGATTCAAACCAGGCAATTTGATTCGAGAAGTCCTGGTCATTGACCATTACAATGCACTGCCTGACAGATAAGAAATCTACTTTAGGGTTAAAGATCTCTGCCAACAAGACTTAATTTTACTTAAAGAAATTTATTATAGGGGTGGGGGCAGGGGGGAGAAATGACCCAAGCCTTGTATGCACATATGAATAATAAAACAATAAAAATAAATAAATAAATAAATGCACTGATAAATGGAATTCAGTGTGAATATAGAACATGAAAAAAAAAAGTTATTATATTATAAATGTTGATTCAAGGAGTCTGGGGATGTAGCTGAGTGATACAGTACTTGCCTACCATGTGCCAAGGCAGTGGATTCAGTGCTCAGTATCCCACAAGAAGAAAAAATAAAAATAAATAAATGAAAAGGTTGGCGGAGTGGCTTAAGCACTAGAATGCCTGCCTACCAAGCATGAGGCCCTGAGTTCAAATCCCATAACACTAAAAAAAGTTAATAAAAAAGAATATGTTAAATGGGCAAGGTGTGTTTCTAATTTGTCTCAGAAACAGAGAATTAAGTTTTAAAAAAAAAATGTTGATAAAGACCACAGATTACCAAATAAAACTGCCCACTGACAAACACTTCCATATATGTAACATATAATGTTCAACATGGGAAATTCTATCAGACTAAGTGTTTAGGATTAAAACAGCAAATCACAGGCACTGCCGGGCACCAGTTGCTCACGCCTGTAATCCTACCTACTCAGGAAGCTGAGATGAGGAGGATCACGGTTCCAAGCCAGCCCAGGCAGATAGTTCAAGAGACCCTATCTCGAGAAACCTTTTACAAAAATAGGGCTGGAAGATTGGCTCAAGGTGAAAGCCCTGAGTTCAAGCCCCAGTACTGCAAAAAAAAAAAAAAAAAAAAATCACTGGCACTATAAGCCTTTGCATAGCTGACCACCATTCTATCCCCTTTCAATAGAACCCTAATAAATCTTAGCTTTCTCCTAAAAATAAATAAACAAACAAGTAAATAAAGCAAATACCCCCCCCCAAAAAAAGAATAGCAACAGTGGTTAAGAAACACGTGGAAACATGTACAGGAAAACAATGCGAGTCAACTCCCTGTACAGCTATCCTTATCTCAACTAGCAAAAACCCTTGGTCCTTCCTATTATTGCTGATACTCTCTCTTTAACAAAATTAGAGATAAGGGCAAAATAGTTTCTGCTGGGTAGTGAGGGGTAAGGAGGGGTAAGAGAGGGAGGGGGCAGAGGAGGGGGAAGGAGGGAGAAACGACCCAATCATTGTATGCACATATGAATAAAATAAAAATTAAAAAAAAAAAAAGAAACACGTGAAAGAGGGTATTCAACTTTGTTGTTGGGGAGAGGGTTTGAACTCAGGGCTTTGTGTTCCCAAAGCAGGTGTTCTACCATTTGAATCACACTTCCAGTCCCAGTATTCAACTTCTTTAGCAAGGAAAGACATTCAAATTAAAACAGTAATCTCTGCACTCTGGAAGCTGAGGCAAGAGGATCAAGACTTCAAGGCTAGCTTGGGCTACATACAGAGTTTCAGGCCAGTCTAGGTTACACAGCAAGATTCTGTCTCAAAAACCCAAATAAATAAATGACTTCTGAACTTTACATTTCAAAATTGTTAAAATGGCAAGTTTTAGCTTATGTATATTTTTCCCATAATTTAAAAAATGATGTAAAATGTAAATTTCCTTTTTGTTTTAATTTATAATTTTAACATGCCATCTTTTTGGAAAGTAGACAAGTTGAGATACTAAACAGGATAATAAAGTTCATTTGGAACTTTATAAAGAAAAAAAAGACCAAAAGGGAAAGTTAGCCTTCCCAATATTAAAACATAACAGAAAGACTCTTTTTATAAAATAGTACAGTATGGGAATACAAATAAACAAATCAACTAAAAATCCACACAAATAAATCCAATTGTATATGGACATTTAGTACAGAATAAATAAATCAGATGGCAAACATATACTTTTTAGTAAGTGGCTTTATAGATAAAATCAATCTGTCCTTCATACTGAGGAAGGCTAGCACAGGTAAAGACCAATAGCATGAGAATCAAAGCAAGCCAAAACCAGGAGTTAGATAATATACTAACTATACTAGATAATCTTTTAGAAAAGTACACACATTATTTTTCGCTAAGTATTCCCTTGAAAACAATGCACCGTAAAAATAACTGCCCACCTTGCCTCAGATGAGTAATGTGCCCAAGAACAAAGACTACATAGCACAGCAATTCTTCTGATTAGAAGAAGGTTCATAAAAACTGTAAGAAATAGGCACCCATGTCACAGGATCCCTCAAATGATAAGATCACCAATGATATAGGAATCAGGCAGGATGTTACAAAATCTGATGGCTGACAATAACTTAGCGGTTAAAAAAAAAAATCTCAGATGATAATAAGTCACATCCTACCCTGCTGACTTAAAGGAGTGACTTAAAGGGCTGTTGACTTAAAGCCTCTGAGTTCACAAAAAAAAAAAAAGAAAAGAAAAGAAAAAACCCTGATCTGACCATTCAAGTCCAAAAACTTCCTCACCTGATATATGGGCAGAACTAAAGATGCATAATCCAGTCTCTGTAAATTGATGACACATTAGTCCAGTTTTCAAGACTGGCCACCCTCAGCTTTACAGATCCCAGTAAAAACCTGAGGTGTCTGGAGCTCCAGAATAGTGTTCCTTCTTGGGCCTGCGTAATCTCCCATCTAAAAGTGTGCTTTTGCTTTGCCTTTACTTTGCTTTGTATTAATAAACCTACTTCTGCCTAAGTCTCTTCTATGTCTGTTTTCAAATTCTTTCTCCAACAAAGGCTAAGAACTTTCTAGCCTCAGGACCTGGTGACCCAAATTTGGTGACAATGCCACATACCAGGAAAAACCCAAATAATCCAGAGATTTAAATGCAAATAAAATCATAGAGATATACAAAAACATCTATGAAGTGGTTTTTTTTTTTTTTCCCCTTTTTTGGTGCTGGAGTTTGAACTCAGGTCCTTAAGCTTGCTGGCAGGTGCTCTACCACTTGAGCTATGCCCCCAACTCCATGAAGTCCTTTTTAATCTGGGATGAGGAAACTTCTAAGATTATTCAAAATATAGAACCAATCAAGAGGAAAGGCTGATACATTAAAAAAAATGGACATGGATATAAATGCCTTTAAACAAGTTAAAAGACAAATGAGAAACTGGGAAAAATATTTTCAAGTTACAACACAAGGGATTAATATCCCCAATATATAGAAGGTTTGTAGAATATGAGGAGACCCTTAAACAGATAAAATGATGCTAACCCTTATTCACAAGAAACATACAGGGCTGGCAAAGTGGCTCAAGTGGTAAAGCACCACCTAGCAAGCTTGAGGCCCTGAGTTCAAACCCCTATACCACCAAAATAAATAAATGAATAAATAAACAAGCAATTAAATCTTAGTAAGATACTGGTTTTTTCCTAAACTGGCAAAAACTAAAAGTATAATAACATACTGCTGGTAAAGCTGTAACAAAGTAGAAACTCATGCATTGCTGTTGGCTGACGCTTAATTATCTTGTATAATTTAAAAATAGTCCCTCCCTCTTCCTACAGGTAGTTACTATGACATCCATAAGCGTGGGATAAATGGGGACCAAGTTGCTTCATATGTAAAATTCTCCTCAGCCCTCCCCTATTCCTTGATACCTTTTTTCCTTATTATTTTTGTCAAAGTGTAGGGGTTAAACGATAACGGAGAATGGCCAAGGGTGTGAATTCAAGTATGATATATTTGATACACTGTAAGAACTTTTGTGAATGCCACAATGTACCCCCACCCAGCACAATAATACAGGGGGAAAAAAAAAGAGAAACTACAAAATAAAAGTGTCTCTCCCCCACAAAATTAACGTCCACTCTGAATTTCAGAATGTGACCGTATTTGGAAATAATGTCTTTGAAGATTTTTAAAGTGACATCATGCTGGATTAGGGTAGGCCCTAAATCCAATGAGTGTGTCCTTATAAGGACAGGCAAAAATAATAATAAAAGACACATGTGAAGACCAAGACAGAGATTAGTTTTGCAGCTACAAGCTAATGGAATGTTAAGGATTGTCAAGGGCCACTAGAAGCTGGAAGTGGTAAAGAATTCCCTAGAGCCTTCAAAAGAGCATGGCCCTGCCCAAGTCACCAAATTTATGGAAACATATTGCAAAAGCCCAAGAAAGTAATATGCATATATACTTTATTTTGCCTGGAGTAAAGTAACTACTATTTCTAAACACATTGTGGGCTTTCCTACCCTCCTACCTTTGTTCAATACTACCTGCAGGCCTGTATACCCTTCTTTCACATCTCTTCAAATTCAAATTCGACTCATCTTCAAAGACCTACATGGAATGCCAGCTTGATGCAAGAGGCCATTTCTGTTCTGCCTATTTCTTTCCCTTATCTGAAAACAATATAACCTGCCTCCTGAACTCAAATCTACTCTATAATTTTATAAATATGATTATTGTGAAGTATTCATCTTATCTTTCCTACCAGACTCTAGAGTCTGCATTATTCTTAAGTAAAATTCCTGGCAAAATGCATAGCAAACTATGATGACATCGGTAATTATTTATTGCTGAATTAATAACTAAGAACTAAAAGGCCCTTCAAGTGTTTACCCATAGGGTAGTTTACAGAAATCTCTAAGAATGATACCACCACCTTAATGTCTCTCAGTTTCCACATAGAAAATAATGCTTATCTTTGATAGGGCAACTTTCTATTAATTATAATACTGAAAGAACTCAAACATTAAATTCCTCTACAAGTTACAATTGTAGAACTTTGAATACCATGAGCCATTAGTTATACTTGTCCACAAAAATTACATCCTATCCATACCAAAATTAACTCCTACTTTCTTTCCAGAAAGGTGTCAAGTAGGAACATAAGACATAAATCAATAAACCTTTCTACATTTCAATTCACAGATTAACTTTTGAAGAAATTTCTAGCACTCAGGAGGATGAGGCAGGAGGATCTCAAGTTCTACAACTACATAGTGAGACCTTGTCTTAAAAAAAAAAATAAAATCTAATCACCCTAAACTTCAGAACGTCACGTTTTAGAATCTCCTAAAAATGCAACCTCTACATCTTTTTAACAGGCTTCTAGAAATAAATTATAATCTTATTTTCCTTGTCTTGTAATTACCTACCGAATACTGCACGGGCCAGATTCCCAGCATAAATCAGCCTTCCATCTTCTGACTTATCAAGTTGTGTCTGTATACATCGAACACATCCTTGCCAACAAATAGGCATCTATTGAAACAAGAGACCATTATCAGTGCATAGAAAATTGCATCTTCAACCAATTTTAAAATGTTATTTTTAAAAACATAATAAAGCCAGGCACCAGTGGCTCATGCCTATAATCCTAGCTACTCAAGAGGCAGAGATCAGGAGGATCGAAGTTTGAAGCCAGCCTGGGCAGAAGAGTTCTCCAGACCCTATCAATAAAATCCATCACAAAAAAAGGGCTGGTAGAGTGGCCCAAGCGGTAGAGCACATGTCCAGCAAATGAGGACCTCAGTTCAAACCACACTACCACCAAGAAAAAAAAAAAACATTATATGTATATATAATGAAGAGTAGAAAAGAACTTGTCACATAAGGTGACATAAGGGATTGTTCCAAATAATCGAGATAATTAACCGGTTCACAAAATGGCTTTGCTTAATTCCAGAAATAAGTACAAATGTGCTGAGTTTAATACGTTTGTATCCAAGTGCTCAGATTTTTGGATCTATCATGGCCTTGAACAGGTAAAAACAGTTCGGTAGAAGTTTCTTAATGAGAACATCACTCTCATTCGATTTAAATGCAATAGCTTTTCAAAAAAAAAAAACAATTTGTGGCTAGAGGTGTGGCTCAAATGGTAAAGCACCCGCCAAGCAAGTGAGGAAGTCCTGAGTTCAAACACCAATACAAAAAAAAAGGGGGGTGGGTCGCTGAGTGTATAGCTCAGTGGTAAAACACTTGCTTCACATACAATTAATTTTGGGCTAGTGGAGTGGCTCAACTGGGAGAGTGCCTTCACAGCATGTGTGAGGCCACCCTGTGTTTAAACCCCCCCCACCACCAAAAAAAGAAAATTAATTTTAATACAATAACCTAAGTAAACACTGACAGGTTAAATTTAAGGTCCAAACCTTACTTATATTACACCTAGCATTTTTAAAAAGAGAGCAAGTAGTTCTAGAAAGGCATTGTAAATACCTTTGCATCACCTATTCTTTTTTTTTTTTTTTTTCCCCCAGACAGGGTCTCACTAATGTAGTTCAGGCTGGTTTAGAGCTCCAGATCCTCCTGCCTCAGCCACCCAAATGCTGGAATTACACCACCAGGATTCACCACTTAGAATACCTCTTAGGTATTCTTACCTCTGAGCCACTTCCCCAGCTCTTAACAAGGAAAAAAATTTTACTTGAAAGTCTACATAAAATTTCATGGAAACAGCTGGACACCAGTAGCTTACATCTGTAATTCTAGCTACTTGGGAGGCTGAGATCAGGAAGATGGAAGTTCAAGGCCAGTCCAGGCCCCATAGCCAAAATAACCAGAGCACAAAAGTAGACTAGAGGTGTGGCTCAAGCAGAAAGACTGCTTTGCAAATGTGAATGTCTGAGTTCAAACCGTAGTCACACACACACACAAAATTCACAGAAACATAAGAGTTCTCTGAACATCTGAAAGTGAATTTCACAGCGCTTACACAACAAAACAAACAGGATGCCTAATTCCTATAGGCTGAAATTTCATTAGATTCCAATTTCCCTATTAGGCATTTCTTCTAAATTTTAACCAGGCTTGCCAATCCGAACATTTTACAGAGTAGATTAGGAGACAGTTCATTGGTATTAAAATGAAAGAATCGGGGCAGACGGAGTGGCTCGTGGTAGAGTGCCTGCCTAGCAAGCGTGAGGCCCTGAGTTCAAACCTCAGTACCCTCAAAAAAAAATAAATAAAAGGATTAACCACATCCCACCTTTCCCCTGTGACCAAAGGAATTCCTGACACCTAATTTAAAAAAAAAAAATCAAAAGTAACGTAATCCGCATTATTTCGGGTGCTGCATCCAATTTCTTTGCAAATTAAACCTTCTGAGCTTCAGCTCAACGGAGAAAAGGAACGAACCGAGTTGCCATCCCAAACCCGCTGTGTCTGGAAACGCCCAGGAAAGCAACCACTTTCCCAGGCGCTCCTAGTCTGGGAGGCCGTGAACCCCAGGGCTGCGGGTCGGTTCCCGAGGCCTCGGTCGGCCACTGGAGGGGCAGTGCGCCCTCGGCAGTGAGCCACCACCAGCCAGGACAGGCACAGGGAGATCAAGGAGAACCTCAGAGGCTCCAGGGCCCAAGCCACTCTCCTTCTCCGCACCCAAGCCGGGGCTGGCCGACCTGCGATCGCTCAGGACGCCGGAGAAGGGCCGCAGCGTCTCGCAGCCCAGCGCTCACGCCACCCACCAGCCTCAAGGGCCTGCTGCAGGAGGCTGCCCGCGACGCCGCCACCCTGGGGCCTTGGCGCGCGGCGGCCGCCCACAATGAGGTCCTCCTCCCCCAGGGCCGCAGCGCGGCCGCACGCGGGCCGCCCAACGCCAGCAGTAGCATCCTGCGGGTGAGAAGGGACGGCAGCCGTAGCTGTAGCGGCAGCCACGAACTGCAAAGCTCGGTTCTTCACAACTCGGGTCCCAACCAGAGGAACAAGCCCCGCCCCTTAGAGCCTAGCGAGCCGACCTGATTGGCGCTCGCGCGTGCGCAAAATGTGCGGCCGTCTGCAACCTTCGCCGCGGAGCAGGGTTCCGCCGGGCGAAGGATCCGTCAACTCCCAGACTGCGCTGGGCATAGCGTTCTTCCCTCTTTAGCACAGCGTGGAAGGAGAGAGGGAGGAGCCCTGTGAGAAAGACAAAGCCTAGAAGTTCATTTTCGTGGACGTCGTTTTCTAGGTGTTAAAAATTGTTCTAGCCTACCGGCACAGAAGGAACATACTGCTTTATACGATGTGAAAAAATATGAAAGATTTAGTTCAACCATTGGGATAGTATAAGGAAATCACATCCCAATGCACTTTTGCTCATTACCCATTAAAGAGGTGTCGGGTAGATGTGGGATGTTCCTCACTGGTAGAGCACTTTGCGGCCCTAGTTCCATTCCCCAGCACAACAACAACAACAAAAAAGTCTTTGCTTTAGCGCCTATTGCCAGAGCTTAGGAGCAGAGGTTGCAAAGACACTGGGTAAAATTGGGAGTGGATGGTGCTAACATAATGGAGAAACGCCCCAAAATAAGCCAGAATATAATGTGATAAAATTGAGATATACTGATACAGAAAATGCTATAGACGTCTCCAAAGAGCCCGGCGCCGGTGGCTCACGCCTGTTATCCTGGCTACTCAGGAGGCCAGAGATCAGTAGGATCGCAGTTGAAAGCCAGCCCCGGCGAATAGTTCATAAGCCCCTATCTCGAATAACCCTATCACAAAAAATTGGGCTGGTGGAGTGGCTCAAGGTGAAGGCCCTGAGTTCAAGCCCCCATACCACAAAAAAAAAAAAAAAAAAGAAAGAAAGGAAGAAAGAAAAAGTCTCCAACTAAGCATGATTAATTTGGCCTCAGAATGGTTTCACACTGAATTCACGTTCAGCTGAGTTTTGAAGAATGAGCCTCTAACTGGTAGAGATACATTTACCACTGTTTCAGAACTATCACTGCTTATGATTTGGCCTACTGTTTGTATAGGAAAGGATTTGCATAGGAAAGGAACAAATTTACAGTCAAATGATTATAATGATTGGGCTGGGTGTTCAGCTCAGTGGTAGAGCACTTGCCTACCATGCATGAGGCCTTAGGTTCAATATCCAGTACCACAAAATATGTAAATAAACAAGTAAAATATGATCACCTTGGCAACTCCAAAAGCTATCTACTTCTTGGGATAAGAGAGGGGATCTTTAGAAGGATAAAATGGTATCACTTTTTATGAACAGAGATCCTCCTGATCTCTTGCCTCCTGAGTAGCTAGGATTACAGGCAGGAGCCACCAGCACACAGCTGAATATGTTTTCTTACAGTCACACACACACACACACACACACACACACACACACACACATTTTTTTTTTCTTTTTTTAAACAGTGCTGGAGATCGAACCTAGGGCCTCCAGCATGCTTAGGCAAGTACTCTGTCCCTGAGCTATACCCCCAACCCCATCTACTTACATTTAAAATTTTTTTCAAGGGGCAGGTGCTGGTGGCTTAAGCCTGTAATACTAGCTACTCAGGCAGCAGAGATCAGGAGGATCAAGGTTCAAAGCCAGTCTGAGCAAATAGTTTCCCAGACCCTATCTGGAAAAAACCCATTACAAAAAAGAGCTGGTGGAATGGCTCAAGGTGTAGGCCCTGAGTTCAAACCCTAATACTGATTGAGTTTACTGTTCAGTTTACTGTTATTCATACTTCAAATAACATCAATTATCCCTTATTCTACTGATACATATGTAAATTATTCTTTTCATTTAAAAATGTTTTTAATATGAACCTGAATTTTTTTTAAATCTTCCTACAGCTACTGTAGGCAGATGAAAAAACATTTAGACTTTTCTTTTTTCCTTTTGGCAGTACTGGGGTTTGAACTCAGGGCCTTATACTTACTAGGCAGGTATGCTACCACTTGAGCTGTTCCACCAGCCCTGTTTTTTGTGTTGGGTATTTTTGAGATAAGATCTCATGAACTGTTTGCCTGGGGCTGGCTACCAACCTTGATTCTCCAGATCTCTGTCTCCAGAGTAGCCAAAATTACAGGCTTCAGTCATTCTCACCTAGTTCCTTCTCAAGGTTTCTAAATAGCTAATTGTCAGAATGAAAAAGGCACAGAATAGATAGGCAGGAAGACAGCTTGATGCTGGTACAGGACTTATTGTAGAGAAGTGATTCTGTGTAGGGGGTCCCCAACAAGAGAGCTGGAGCCCCTGGCTGCTTAAAGAGCAGGAGTAGATATAGGAGACTGGTAGAGAAGTCCTAGGAAGGTCAATGGGTGGGAAAAATCCTCAATGGCTCTCTGACCCGCCCAAGATAATGGCTTAGAGCAGGTCATTTTTTCTAGGCCAGGTAGGGAGTTTCTAGTAAATGGCTATAGGTGGACGTCCATTTTTCTTTAGGGCCAGTTAGAGAGTTTAGTGTAAGTCATCTTCAAGGGAGAGGGGTCCAGTTGTAATACAGCTTCCTTTTGTTTACCCTAACACTAACATGAGGTAATATTCTGAACATTGTATAGAATTATTATTTATGGTTAAATGGACTTTTCAGTTCTAGTAGTTCAGGGATATTTGTGAATATAACTACTTGAATAGAATTTTGGAATGATTCCAAGGTTATTTAGACAGGGTTCTAGGATTGCTTAGAACCCTGACTTTCCATTCACAACATATGAGAGGTTACACTTAAAGACGGAAACTGATGGAAAAACCGAAGACAGATATTACTTTTACAAACTATAACTTCCACTATTGTATGTAATGTTTACTTGTGACTTTTCGTTTGTTTCCTTCTGAACTAAAAAAGGAAATATAATTACCCATGGCTCATGCTGGTAATCCTTCCTAGGATTCCTAGTCAGCAGACAGAGATCAGGAGGATCACATTTCAAAGCCAGCCCTGGGCAAATAGTTCAGGAGACCCTATCTCGAAAATACCCATCACATAAAAAGGCTGGTGAAAGTGGCTCAAGTGGATCGCTTGCCTAGCAAGTTGTGATCCTGAGTTCCAACCACCAAAAAAAAAAAAAGAAAGAAAAGAAAATGGAGCCCATGCCAGTGGCTGACGCCTGTACTCCTAACTACTCAGGAGGCAGAGATCAGGAGGATCACAGTTCAAAGCCAGCCCAGGCAAATAGTTCACAAGACCCTATCTTAAAAACCCCTTCACAAAAAAGGGCTGGTGGAGTGGCTGAAGGTATAAGCCCTTAGTTTAAACCCCAGTACCATACAAAAAGAGACAGTGAGAGAAAGAGAAAGAGAGAGAGAGAGAGAGAGAGTGAGAGTGAGAGAGAGAAAAGAACAGAAGAAAAGAAAATGGGCCAATAACCTCCTTGTTCCAGACCATTTTGCCTGTTGGGCGGTATGCCAATCACAGAAACTATAACTAAATACAATCAGTTTGTCCCTTGGTGAGTGAAAAGCCAGTAAACACAACCAAGAGAAAAACAAAACCGAACAAAGGTTTGTTACTTGCAGTCAGTAAGAAGAGTGCTGGGGATATTTTCCAAAGTAGTGCCTCTCCAATCACAGGTGGCAAGATGTTATAGGAAAGATGCATGAATATTCATATTAGAAAGACTTGTCATTACATGTAGAGATAGGCACATTCTGAACCATGCTGAGTTAGATATCTTGCTTCTTTCATACATTACATGTTCAAATATGGCACAGCTGGGGTAGAGAATTTAACATTATGTTACTACTTTTCTTTGTACCTTTATGGTTTTTTTTTTTTTTTGCTTGTGGAGCTGGGGATCTAACCCAAGACCTCACACCAAGCAAGGTAAGTGCCCTGCCACTGAATTTTTTCCCTAGCCTGAGAATTTGGCATATAATAAGATTACAATGAGCAAAGTTTATTCTAGGTCATCTAAAAGAGTGACTCAGAGATTTTGGCTGACTTAAGCTGATTCCTTCTGATTTTCTCTGGAGGGCCTTATTCTTGCCCCTAAAAGTTCCTGCCTAATACTTTAAAGCAACAGAGGCCAATAGGAGAAGGGGACCAGGAACTAGAGAAAAGGTTAGTTCGAGAAGAATTAATTTAGAAGGTAACACACGCACAGGAAAGCAATGCAAGTCAACTCCCTGTATAGCTATCCTTATCTCAACTAGCAAAAACCCTTTTTCCTTCCTATTATTACTTATACTCTCTCTTCAACAAAAGTAGAGATAAGGACAAAATAGTTTCTGCCTGATAGCGAGGGGTAGGGGGGAGAGGGAGGGAACGGGGTGGGGGGTTTAGGGAGGGGACTGGGGGAAGGGGGGAGAAATGACCCAAACATTGTATGCACATATGAATAGAAGAAAAAATAAATAAATAAATAAATAAATAAAAGTCCCTGCCTAGCAGCTAACTGTAAGGAACTGCTGAATAAAGACCTCGCCACATGTGGAAAAGAAAGATTTATTACAGACTGCTGGGCTGTCCCCCTTGAGATCAGAGAGCAGTGGCTCGGCTGGAATGGGTAGTGGGCTTTATAGGAGGGGTCAAGCCATGGGGGAGGGAGAGAGTCTCTGGTCTCCGATTATCTGCAATCACCAGATGGAACAGGTTGACATGCCTGGCTAGTTGAGAAACTGGAAGTTCCTGAGATTTTGCAAGCAGGGAAACAAGCAGGGGAACAAGCAGGGAAGTTTGGCAAGTGGTCATAAATCAGGTGGTCTGATTTCAGTGTTATCTTCTGCCTGCCTCAAGAATGCCAGCGACCTAACATTCCAGCCTTTTGTTGCTATTATGGGCACCAATAGATCTAGCTGCTTCATGCTGAGTGGAGGCATCGTTGAGGGGGATTCGGCTAGAATTTGGAAATTTGTGAGGTCCCCAGGAGCAGAGGATGATGGTTTTTCCCAGGCTTCATTTGCAGACAAGGCCAGTTGTTGGGAGAAGGTTGTAGTAGCATCTGCTGAGTTCCCTGAATGATCCTGGAGGAA